TGGATAGAAATTATCAAGAAGTAATAAATTTATTATTTGCCTGGGTTATACTTGAATATACTTAAAACTGAGAGAATATTACAATTTTGAGACAAAAGATTCTCATTCGAGCGCAAGAGGTTAACCTTGCGCTGGCAACTGATTGCGGACCATAACGAGCGACCGAACCGTATACAACATTTTTTGTCGCTTTCTTTTTGAACTCGTCGATATATCACTGGATAGAAATTATCGAGAAGTAATAAATTTATTATTTGCCTGGGTTATACTTGAATATATTAAAAACTGAGAGAATATTACAATTTTGGGACAAAAAATTCTCATTCGAGCGCAAGAGGTTAACCTTGCGCTGGCAACTGATTGCGGACCATAACGAGCGACCGAGCCGTATACAATTTGTCACTTTCTTTTTGAACTCGTCGGTATATCACTGGATAGAAATTATCGAGAAGTAATAAATTTATTATTTGTTTCGCCTACTTCGTTTTTACTTAAATATAGTCAAAACTGAAAAAATATTACAATTTTGGAACAAAAAATACTCGAAGCAATTTTTTTGCCTGTTACTAGACCGCGAATTTTTATTTTGAATTGAATTGAAAAAAAGAAACTGAACTCACGCAGAGATTTGTTTTACTTGCTAAGTCTCGTCTTGGCGAATGCAGAATCATTTTGATTTTGGTTTCTGTTGCTTTGTTTTTTTTTTTTTTTTTTTTTTTCTTTTATATTGCAAGTATATTCTCATTTATAGAAGCCAGTTAGTGTTGAGTCTCGAGTTCTGAATTTCTATTCTTATCTATTATCTGTTATTGTCCAGACAAGCAAATGGAGAAAGCTAATGAATCTGTATTATCCAAACTCTCTGGTTATCCGAACAGCCTTGTCCCCCGACGTGTCCGAGCTATTAGAGCAGTACAATAGCATTGCACAAATACATAATATAGTGCACAGGCATTTAAAGTGTGCGGGAAGCCCATAATCGAGCAAAAACAAATAATTCACAGAATAATCTTGCACGCTGCTACATTTATGTGGGGAACGATAACAAATATAACATAAAATGAACAACGTAAGAAAATGTTGCAATTATACACAACAATTTTGTGTATAAATGTAATAAATGCTCCGGATTTCAATATTCAAATTTCGTCAACATGTTTTATAAATAAAAATAAAACTAAAGTATCACGTAGCAAATAGTCCAGAAATGCGACAAATAAGTTATACGAACCGAAATCTTTACTAGAGAAATTTTAAAAGATTATTAGCGTTTACTTCAATTTAACATCAGGGAAGTATTTTAATGGTACACTGATGAAACACAAAGTGAAGCAATAAATAAACAAAATGAAACTTTAAAAATGTGAATGTATGGATATGCAACTTTCAATGTTATGTTAAATTATAAAGAGTTAACACTCTTTTTTTCACTTTAATACAGGATCAGACGGGATATATAATGTCTGAATAAAATATTTGGAAAATAATTAAATAATACATTAATCTAATTTGCTTAATTTTTTGAATTCATAAACATAAGTTTCTTAATAAATTTATGAAATTCTATAAACAATTAAGTAAGGTATCATTTATTAAACGTTCAACTCCATAACTAACAGAAAGTAATTTTCGTAACATGGAATTGATTATTGAATTTCGAAATTATTCATCTCGCTTTCTGCCTGTGGTCTTCATTTAAATCAGAAATTATAACTGTACAAAATTTTGTCCATTAAACTTCCAAATTTTAATTAAACTTCCAAACAAATAAATACACTTGTAATACCATTATGAATATATTGCACGTATTGTACAAAATGTTTCATTAGTACTGTAATGAGATTTGGCTATCATGATTACGTTGGTGAAGTTTGAAACGAATCTGAAACTACACGTGAAAGTTATAGATTTCCCCGCAGGTCACAAAATATTTAAATAATTTTTCATTATATCAATCATTATTAGAATTTCAAAATGCAAAAATAAAATATAACGAAATGTTCCTTATAATATTCCTTATAATGTTTCTTATAATATTTAATAGTTAAAATAGTTCCCAACATAGGTTCCATTTCATAAATTATCTTTTTAAAACTATAAAATTCTATAAACATCAGTTTGAAACGATTCAATGATACTATTTAAGAATTAATATCCTGGTATGATATACATTTAGAATTCTAATTTTCCATACATTATTATACATTGTATACAATTTTCTGTTATAAAGATTCATAAACAGATTTCTTAATATTTTATTTCTTTTGTATACTTTCAGATTCCGATTATTGTTCCCTCGTGAAAGAAATTCCACCGTATAACGAGGGTCGAAGACTGCTAGATTTGATGGATATGGCTGCTTTAGATTTTCTCATGGGGAACATGGATAGACACCATTACGAAACGTTCAAACTTTTCGGCAACAACACGTTCCCTTTGCACTTGGATCATGGTAGAGGATTTGGCAGACCCTTCCACGATGAGATATCTATTTTGGCTCCCATCTTACAATGCTGCATGATCAGGCAAACAACTCTAAGCACTCTTCTAAAGTAAGTTTCGTTTGTGTTATAGAAATACTTCCTAATTGATTCTCTGCTTGGATTCTGACAATCTCATTCTGCTTTCTATGTTGTGTCAAAATTTTTTTTACTGATAAAAGACTTGGGCGTTTAATGAAAAATAACAATTTGAATTGTTTCGACTGATCTGTTATTGTTATTTTAGAAATAACGTAGAGAAAGTGACTTTCTTTGGTATAAGATCCAAATTACATTCTTGAAAATCGTAAAATTTAAATGTTTTCAAAAATCAGAAAATTGTTTCATGACTGGATCCATCCATGATCTTGAAGATTGAAGTCTCTCCAGTTAAAAAATTTTTTGAATTCCAATATCTCATTGTCCAACCTTAATATTCAGAATTCAATAATATGGTGAAAAGAAATTATACAAGTTCCAAGGAATTGTTATAAACTTCAATCTTCAAGACTATGATCAGTTTTATATTAATTTAGAATTTTTCAAAAATTGCTTTTCCTTACTTTTCCATTCCACTATATGATATTAAAATATCTTTGAAAATGAACTGAGTTGCGCTTTAGTGATATAATTATGCTCTTTATTGATTACGTATTCCATTTAAATCTACTTCCAAGAGTCAGATAACTATAGTAATTTATATTGCGTTGTAAAAATTTAATTTTTTTCTAATAGAGATTAATAATATAATAAAATTAAATTAAATCAAAAATTCCAAAATTAAACAATGTGAGATATAAATTTTTGGCTTCGAATATTCAATGATACCAGTAAAGGGTTAAGACCTTAAGAAACTTGATCGAGGCACCTATCGATTGAAGCAAGAAGGTATTTCGAGAAGATGCCTTGCATAATTTTCTAATTAAAATACATCTTGTTAAAAATAAATAAATATTCAGTTATAGAGCTGTCTGTATATGAATTATTTTGATCTTATCATTAGAAAATCACTTGATCTCAATGTCTATTTTTATTATATATTTAGTTAGAAAGATCGATACTGAAGAGTTCTAAACTTTATATAGTTTCCTAAAGTATCGTCAACATTTTCCTCGCTGGTATTTACACAGTGTGATTGAAATACAAAGTGATTTTTATAAAGCGGCCAATTGAGTTTTCTCCAAAATGGAAAGAAATATGAAAAGACCATAAAAAATGAAAGATTCTGTTTCAGGGAGGAAATATTTTGAAGTGTACAACAATATTTTGACATCTAAATGATCTCAAAGTCAACAAAAGTTAATTGGAATCATTGCAATTTTTCTGTAGCTAATTATTAAAATGTTAACAATGTTGATAGTTTTACGTTATTATTAAAATAACGTATTTAACGTAAAGCATTGTTATACCAAATACTCAAAATTATTATCTTTTACTTGTGTCCAAAAATTAATTCTATAGAAAAAAAAACTGTTTGCATATTACCTCATAACTTTGGCTAAATAAAAATGATACGAATTGATTCTGCAATGCATAATAACAGTTTTATAGTAAAATTGGTCATATTAATAAATAGAAACCCAATGTTTACACATCCTTGGAAAAGTTATCAGAAATTGGAACGTTTAATGTAATAACACATTAATAAACATATTTTCTCGAAGTATTTAAGTTTTTCCTCCCATGTGATGTAACATGTTCGTGACGAATTTATCACATAGAATACTATCGAAATAAAAGAAAATTTAAAAATATTGAAGTGATTTTGAGATGTTCCTAACTACATTATCGTATATATTGTAGGCCAAGATATTTTCTCCCTCAAACAAAACATTTTTCGATTGAATGATTTTTTTGTATCTCTTTTCATTTTTCAATCAGTCACTTAATATGAATCATACTGTATAACAGAATTTATATTTTTTAACCTGTGCAAAAATGCTAGCTGCCAATTTTTTATCGTTGTTTTGAGATTCATTGACATCTTCATATACGTAAATAAATATTTTATCAATAATAACTGTTCCAATAATAACAAAGGCAAACTTCAAAAATGTTCATTCACTGTATTCATTTAAATTAATTTTATTTCAATAAAAAGCAAATTGAACATGAACAAAGATGTGCATACGTCTAGAAATCTATTCATGTAAATTCTATTTCTAATGTCTATTCCATGTGTCTTAATATCTATTAACATCATAACAGTTAATAGGTTAAAAACTATATTACTTCATTTGAAAAAATTAGAATATACTGGCTATGAGAAACATTACAATATTCTCTTCTTTCACTTTTTTTCAAAATCTTATTAAAAATTTAAGAAACACTTCCAGTTGAAACACACAGTTTAAAAAATGATTAGTTTTTTTTAAAGAGAAAGATCGATGTTAGTCTGGGTCAGACAAATGTCCTGCCACTGGCTTAGAATTAATTCACAGGAATAAATGATTCTTAAGTTGTCTGCTGGATCCAGAGAGCAAGAAAGTATGTCACTGAAATATACATGATATCCATCCGATAAAATTTGCTCTTTTAATAAATCTAAAGCATGTTCTTTTATAAATATTTATCGGAAACTAAGATTGAGCGGCGATTATTAAAAAAAGTTATTACAACATGTTTCAATATCATTAAAATCTGTAAAAAGCCCTCTCTTCTAAATAATCATCCAAACGACTTTAATACTAACTAACTAAAAATTATAACTAACTATGACTTTATAAAAAAACAAGGTATAGATAATATAGAATATGTAAATAAATAAGTGAATATAAATAGGACCAATCGTTAACTGTAACTTGACTGTCACCAGTTGTTATAATTAATTGTTGTTCTCTTTAATATTATAAACAGAAAAGCTAATGGTCGATTATAAAATCAATCATTAACTATGATTTCACTGTGCCTCGTTAGTTTTTATAATTAATTGTTTTTTAATATTATATTAATGTTAAATGCGTTTTGAGTAAAATAGAATTATTAACTATTAATTACTCATTGCAAACGAATAATTCTTGATAAACGTTTCAACGTTTATAGCTTTTTTAAAAATAATATTGATCATAATAAATATTTTAGTTCGATGTACGTGTTTTAGCGATTGCAAAATAATATTATAACTATTAAAGTTGTAATAAAATTATTATTAATCCCTAAATGTTTGTTGTTGATAACTTTTTGTTTCATTTTTCATATTTGTACCTTTTAAACTAAATTGAATGATATGATTGTTTATTAACGTTGCTCAATGTAACTTTATTTCGTTATCTCGAAGTTTCGAGTTTTATAAAAAAATAAACTCCAGTTTGATATTCATTCATACTTCGCTTTAATTTACTATTGCCTTGTAACGCTTTATTTTTTTGCAGTAAAACGATCATATTTTTACACAGATATCTATCGTAATAAACATCACTTAGCAAACAATTTTAATCGTCAAACTCTGGATTTTACACGCTTGTAAAAATCAGTCGTTGCATGTGCAATCATCTAATAAAATAGAATAATTTATATTTAAGTGGATGTAATAACACTCTGCAGTATATATATATATATTGCAGAATGTATGTATTATATATATATAAATATCATATATATTATAATTTGTATATTAAATTACATATTATGCAGTATGTATATATTATATACATATAAATATCATATATATTATAATTTGTATATTAAATTACATATTATGCAGTATATATATTATATATATATATATATATATATATATAAATATCATATATATTATAATTTGTATATTAAATTACATATTATGCAGTATGTATATATAATACATATATATAAATATCATATATATTATAATTTAATATATTAAATTACATATAAACTTCAACCAGTTTTATATATATATAATTGTTTGATATTTCTTGGAAAATTTCAAATACTTCGATTTTTCACTTGCACACAGTGGCGGACAGGATGTACATGTTTGATATTGACACGCAGACGTTACCTATGTATGAAAATAAGTATCTAATTTTTATACCAGACATTTTCATAGCAACCATTGTTCTCATTAAATTTCACTCGATAGAATTATAAGTTATCTCACGTCGTTTGTCCTTCCTCGCGTCTCACCTTCTTCAGCCCATAAATCAGAGGTTCCCCCGTTCTCCTATTAATTTCGCCAATCGACACAACGCCAGGAAGCAAGATAGTAAAGAAAGATCGTGGATCTGGACGTGGCTCTAATTCGACGTGGCTCGGTACGATCGTATCGAGGCTGGTGTCGCGAGAGCACAGGATCGATCTGGGTCGAATTTACAATTCAGAGCGCCCCCTCTTTCTCCCCTCCCTTCCCCTCCCCTCCTCACCTCTTCTCTTCTCTTCTCTTCTCTTCTCTCCGCTCTGGATGGCCTCTCGGCGGATTTTGAAAAAGGGAAAACGCTGGGAAAACTTTACGAGCCGTGGCCCCCCAGGGCTGGATAAGGCGGATTTCGGAGTGAAACGTTTTACCAGAATTGGCCGTCGCTAGCATCGCTCGTGAATCTCCGCTTTGATGCGGATTCACGGTGGCCGAGGCTTTTTACGACCGCGATAAATTCGACGGGAGCGGATTTCGTCGACACGCGTAGCTACACACGCGCGTACGGACCTCTTTGTGCATACGTGCCGATCGCCTCTCACATGCGCGAGCGTGTGTGCGTGTATGCGCGCCGAGTGACCGATGCACGGAACGATTATCGATTTGTTCGACACGCTGCTCAAGTCGAAACTAGAACCTCGTCTCTTCTTCTCTGGCACGCGTGTTTCGGTGGAGGTTTCACCTTTAAACAAATATATCACGAAATTTAAATTTGCTATCAACAACTAGAGAACGCAAAATATTTTCTATTTTCTTACTTTCCTCATTTTTAAATGAGGCGTCGCTCGCTGTTTAACCACTTGCGCTGGCAACGAGCGATCAAACCGTGTACAATAATTCGTCGCTTTCTTTTTCTTTTGTGATGATATAATTGCTATGATAGAAATTAGAGAAGTTAATAAATTTATTATTTGTTTTGCCTCGGTTATACTCAAGTATCGGGACAAAAGACTCTCGA